CCTGTTCTTCAAAGATCGTTATAAGGGAATGTATGTGCAAAATACTAGATTTTTGACCATTTTTCCGCTTTACGTTATCGATTTAAAAATAAGTTTACTTGTGTGTCCATTTACGTGTTGTGATCTTCGCACGCGCCAGAGGGATGTCTTCAGTCGATGTAATGTCTAAGAGAAAACGAGGCTACTTTGGAATCCTTTTGAGTGTTGTGAAATTCACACGCTTCATAGGTACGCCTTCTGCCAATCTAATATCTACGAGAAAACAAGCTTACTTTGGTTTCTTTTGAGTGTTGTAAAATTCATACGCCTCAGAAGGACACCTTCTTCGATGTAGTACGTACGAGAACATAAGCTTACTTAGCGGTCCTTATGAGTGTTGTGATATTCACACGCGCGGAGGGATGTCTTCAGTCGATGTAATGTCTATAATAAGCTTCCCTTGGTACCTTTTTAAATGTTGTGATCTTTGTAAAACTCGCTACTACTCACTTCTTCACGCGCTTCAGAGGGACGTCTTCTACCGAACTTATATCTACGCGAAAAGAAGCTTACTTTGGTTTCCTTTTAAGTGTTGTGAAATTCACACGCCTCAGAAGGACGCCTTCTTCACACGCTTCAGAGGGACGCGTTCAACCGATGTAATATCTACGAGAAAACAAGCTTACTTTGGTGTTCTTTTGAGCTCAGTTCAAAAGGGTAAAAACTCTCAAATTTTTCTCATCAAAACTCTATATTGTTTAATAGTATATTCGGAAAAAAAAAACACCTAAAAATCTAGGATATATCGATTTTTCTAACTGATGAAAAAATAATGTTGGTACCTAGAACATTGTAGTGGTGGGTGTGTTGCCTGATAGGGTCCATACTTTTGATGCTCGTAAAACCATTTCCTATACGACCAAAACAAAACAAATTACACAATCGATCCCCATTTCTCTTGCTCTTTTAGAATCTGTTACTTTTTGCCCCAAAATCCAATTGTGGAAAATCCTTAACTGGATTCACTCCTTGGATCGSACTTTTCCGTGGTGGAGCGTCGGAACGAGAAAAAATTTTCTTTGGTTTTTCGACTTAAAATTATAGCGAAAAGTCTAACATCACTAGAAAAGTTACTTTGGATCAGTTATTTTTAAAGATTAATGAAAATTATTGCGTATATCAGAAGGATACGTTAAGTGGTTCTCGTTGAGAATCTGTGAATTTATATTTCTAGAGAAACTTCAGGCCGTTCGATAAAATTGATTTTTTTGTGTCATAGATTCAGGATCAAAAGTTGGTTTGAGTATGTATAATTTTTAGGTCACCCATCCACATACTAACCCTCCCGAAACGGGCTTGACACATTTTCTTCCATCCCAAGTTTATGCCACTGAGCCACAGTTTTCTACGGAATCAGCATAACAATAGCCGTGAAAACAATACACCAAATAGACTAGACTTTTTAACATTACACTTTCAACCGATTCCGTGCGTGGCAGAGATGCAAGGGATCAGCCGATATGGTCTGGGGGCCGGCTGGTCTCTCCCCTGATGCTTCGGCTAGAACATTTTCTTGCGTAATTCGTGCACCCAAGGGCAGAAGGATTTAATCGCCGTCAGGTCCGAAGTCCATACGACGCCTCAGTTCTGCGGATGTCTCGGGGGTATGGCAAATTTGAATCGATTTTTCTTGTTTTGAATTTTTATGGATTGATTCGAACACCATCGTATCAAAAAAAGAAACAAAAACAACAAACAAATTGCATATCGATTTGGAAATATCCTTTTTTAAGTGACTACCCTATTCCTTTATCTAGCTCAAATTTAGAATTAACACTGAAGTTAGCCATCTCTTTTGTAAATGTCACATTGGAATTGGTCCGCGATGGGCTGTTTGCAGTTACAATCACCTGGACTGCGAGCATCCATTCGATAGCCATTACGTTACGAGATGGCTAGATGGCATACTCGCAGTCCAGGTGATTGAATTTCCATATTTAATCTCAACATTTTTTATCATATCTAAATCTATGTTATCGTAAAAGTACGACTAATAGGCTAATGAATAAAATTCCACTGGAAATAAATATCTTCCTACGAAATGGCTACACGGCATACTCGCAGTCCAGGTGATTAAATTTCCCATATTTAAACTCATAATCTTTGATGATAGCCAAATCTTTGTTATCGTAAGGAACAACTACTAGCCGAGTGAATAAAATTCCTCTTGAAATTAAGCCCTCCCTAGCCTCTTTCAATCACCAGGACCGCTAATATCCCTTCTAGCTATTACACGTTACGAGATGGCTAAATGGCATACTCGCAGTCCAGGTGATTAACTTTGCCATATTTAATCTCATAATTTTTTATCATACCTAAATCTATGTTATCGTAAGGTACGACTACTAGCCGAGTGAATAAACTTTCTCTTGAATTTAAGCTCTCCCTAGCATCTTTCAAACACCTGGACCTCATGTATCCTTTCTAGCTATTACGTTACGTGATAGCTAGATGGCATACTCGCAGTCCAGGTGATTAAGTTTGCCATATTTAATCTTATAATATTTTATCATAGCATAGTTTTTATTATAGATATCTCTATGTTAACGTTAGGTACGACTACTAGCCGAGTAAATAAAATTCCACTTGATATTAGTCTCTCCCTATCCTCTTTCAATCACCTGGACTGCGAGTATTCCTTCTAGTTATTACGTTAAGAGATGGCTAGATGGCATACTCACAGTCCAGGTGATTGAATTTCCCATATTTAATCTTATAATTTTTGATGATGGCTAATTCTATGTTATCCGGCGTAAGGTACGACTACTAGCCAAGTGAATGAAATTCCTCTTGAAATTAAGCTCTCGCTAACTTCTTTCAATCACCTGGACTGCGAGTATCCTTTCTAACCATTACGTTACGTGATAGCTAGATGGCATACTCGCAGTCCAGATGATTGAATTTCCATATTTAATGTTATAATTTTTGATGATAGCTAAATCTATGTTATCGTAAAGTACAATTACTAGCCGAGTAAATAGAATTATGCTCTCCCTAGTCTCTGTCAATCACCTGGACTGCGAGTATCCATCTAGCCATCTCGTAACGCAATAGCTAGATGGGATACTCGCAGTCCAAGTGATTGAGGTATTCGTATTTAAGCACAATTTCTATCATAGCTTCATCTATGCTATCGTAGGGTACGCCTACAACCCGATGTTTATGCACAGCCGGAGAAATTAAAGATGTTCTCCGATGAATGCGCGCTTATTCAGCAAAAGGTTCTTCAGTATGAGAGAATGTATGTAAACACAATAGGGACTTCAAACAATCAATAAATCAATCAATCAATCAATCAATCAATGAAGAAAGACAGACAGACAGACGGACAGACAGACAGATAATTAATCAATAATATTATTTTTTTATTAGTGGTTTTTTCTTTGTTTTGTTTCCATGTTTCTAACATTTCCCTTTATATATTTTTTTTTCTGGTTGCTTTCTTTCTTTCTTTTTCATTCTTCCCGCTGTTTCTTTTATATCTTTCTTCGCATTATTCTTTCTTCGTGTTTAGTTTTATTTTTGTTTGTATTCTTTTTTTATTTGATTATTTTTATTTCACAGCGAGGCGAGAACGGGTGGCAAATAAAGTTGAATGTCGCAATTATCGCATTACCGTTTTCGCGTTCCATTATCGCGTTACCATTATCGCGTTACCATTATCGCGTTACCATTATCGCGTTAGCATTATCGCGTTCCATTATCGCGTTACCATTATCGCGTTACCATTATCACGTTACCACATTCAAATTCGCTCCCAAAACAAGAGCCTACACACGTAATCTTTGATCTGGCTAAAATTATTCTTGAAACATTCAAATAACAAGTATAGATGAATGTTATATTCATAATGGAAGTTTTGTGGCAAAGAAAAGAACATCAATGATGATTCCTGTGGTGCTCGTGAGACAAGGCTTCTTGTGGGGTTTGTCTGCTATCTTTCTCTTTGCTTTTACTTCACTATATCTTCAAATTCCCGGTGAGCGTTTTTGGTATTTTTTGTTATATAAACGGGCCGACAAACCCACCTAATGTATCCTTGAAGTCTCATTTGAAACTTCGTACCTCAGTGGTTAGACCTTGAAACCGGAATAGCCAGGGAACGGGTTTCAAATTCCATTCGAGGTTCAGAACTTTTTCTGTGTCTTTCAATTTGAAGCTGTATAAGTTGCTTCATATACTGCGAGGATCAGCTCAATTTGATACATTAGAACCGCAGTACGAGTATAATTTCATATATATTCTCGAACACACGAGGAATACATTTCGAGGATTTTCTTGACAGATAACTATGATTTATAAAACCGTAATAGAAGCTGACATTTCACATTTCACATTGCTTTAATCAAATTTATTAAAATCTATATCCGGTAGTTCAGGTCAAGACTAATAAGATAAATATGATACATTTGTTACATAATTTGAGTTTTTTTTACCGAAATTCAGTCCTTTATTTTTATTGACTTACGCGGGAATAAATGTTTTTGATGTCGTTGACAGGTCTTTATGGAGACAAAGGTTTACTACCTGCCAAATATATCCTACACGATTGTAAGTATATATCTGATTCAGTTGGTCTGCATTTATTTATTTATCTTATTTCTTTAATAAGCTTTCACTTTAAAATAGCTATTAAAAAGTAGACTTCATATCTATACACACCATCCGGTAATTTTTATAACCCCCCACACACTAACAACAACACAATTGATTCAGTTCGGTTAAAAAGGTCCAAATAACGGACGAAACTAGTCCTTAAACTGATTGTGTTATTTTGTTAGTCCCTATCATTGCAAGCTCACCATTCGTCTCGCTGCGACGCAAAGGCACGGCTACCTTTCAAGATCATGGCGCAGGTAACTGTGAAGGGGTCTATTGACGGTTTCACGTTTGCGCATTTCCTAAAGGTCTCTTTCAGCAAACGAGAATTTCCAATGGATTAGTTTAATTGGAACTAAAGCAACTTAGTTTTTCCATATTTCAGTATCAACTTGTCGGGATAAACATTCTCCATGTTTCAAATGGGCTTCTGGTGGGGATTGCAAGAGAAACTCCAAATGGATGGCTGTCAATTGCATGAAGGCTTGTAACAACTGTCAAGGTAAAACTGCCCTTCCCTTCCTTTTCCTTCCCTTCCCTTCCTTTTCCTTCCCTTACCTTCCCTTTCCTTCCCTGCCCTGCCCTGCCCTCTCCTCTCCTCTCCTCTCCTCTCCCCCCCTCTCCTCCCCTCTCCTCTCCTCTCCTCTCCTCTCCTCTCCTCTCCTCTCCTCTCCTGCTCTTGTTGAATTAATCCTTGTTCTCTTCACCAATAAATCCCCATTTTACTGCTAACCATGAATAATATATTTGCTTTCATTCTAGCATTAGACACTTCTTTGATCGGCCTACTCAAGCAAACACCCACTCTACTCTGGCTCGCTCCGTCATTAGGGCTGGACATAACTACTGGCATGGAGTTCCTCTGCCTGACTGGAATGACATTATCAGTGCTTCTTCTCGTCTCTCAGCGCTGTAGGGATTGTCTCAGTTTCTTCGTGTTGTGGTTACTTTATTTTTCATTGTTCCAGGTGAGATACACACCTTTAATTTCTCAAAGATCATCGTCGGTGCCAAAGGACGCATAGGCATTAGGTTATTCARAGGAATTACGGGTATACGACTCAGTATACAATCGCCAATAAAGGAGGCCTTTAAAATGGTTTCGTCAACTACAAACAACACTGCAGGATCATCTGAACACTAAGCTCTGTGATTTTGACAGAGGTCTATTCCTCCATCTATACGCTTATTCCCTTACTCTTTTTTCATTTATTAAGTTTAATCTGCATTGTTTCTTTTGATATCTTTAGGTTGGACAAATTTTCTTGTGGTATCAGTGGTATGTATATTCGACAGACCTTCTTCGAGTTCCAAAATATGGCTGTGTTCCTTGATTACAGACTCATTTGCACAGGGTTAGCCTCGTATCATCAGTGTCTAAATATTCACAAATAGTACCAACAGTACAGTAAAGAATGAATACAAATACGAACACTTAGCCAATCCTATAGCACGTAAACGCTATACGGCCGGCTGCCGGCCATTTCATTATTAACAAGACAACAAATCATTATGTTTATTCAACTGATACCATATCTGTATTGACCCCGTTATGGTATACTATCCAGGGATGGGTTGCTATTGGAAACGGGGTTCTTGGCAGTTGTTGTTGCACCCTGGAATATAAAGCTGTTACCATGGAGATGGAAGCTTTTTAAATGTAAGAGAATGAGGTATGTGGTTTCAATTTCAATGAAGAGCTGTGATTGGTCAAATATTCAGAGGCGGTTATTTTCGTCCTATGAAAATGCTGTCAATCAAGAATCTACCAGAGCAAAATTACGAGATATATGATTGGTCAAACAGTGAATGACATTAGCGTCCTTTTCGTTTGAATTTCAGGAATGTAACTCGTCACCATGACATGGTCACCCTGTGGTTAGTAAAGTGGTTGTTATTCAGGCTGATGTTTGCTTCTGGTGTGGTAAAACTATTGTTCATGGATCCCACATGGTGGGACATGACAGCAATATACTGGCATTATGAATCACAGGTATTACACAGGGAGCCCAATAAAACATGAATCACATATTACAAGATGTTGCCTTCGAGTCTTATTTTCCCGCCTTTTTTATCACGTGACTGGTTGGTTAGAGGTTTTTCAATGTTTGTTTTGTTCTTTGTTCTTCATCAACCAAGAATTTCTACTGGATCATTGCTCTCTTCCCAACAGTTTACTGACTTACACAACCAACCACAAGTAAATACCTCAAATACTAAACCTTTTTATATCTGCTTCGAGAAGTCTAGAAAATTTAAAACAAATTCGCTTTTTGTTGTTTAGTGTATTCCGACTCCATTGGCCTGGTATTTCCAGAAGCTACCAAAATGGTTTCACAGACTCAGTGTTGTCATAACGTAAGTATTTGAAGCAGATTTAATGTGATATTTTGCGGTCATCAATAACAATTTATGATTTAATTGCCACTCTTAGATACACCATAGAAATTGGTTTGCCGTTTCTATTCTTCGTTCCTATCAGAACCTTGAGATTTTTTGCATATTTTGGTCAAGTAAGTAGTCTAATAAATAGTTGTTATTATAACATGTGAATTAACTTAATTAAACATAACTCAACTGCTTAAGAAATTCTTAATAATAGATAAAAGTTCCAACTCTCCGATTCAATGGCTTCCGCAATTTTCGAATTTAAATTGTACAAAATTTAAAGTATCAAAGTTTTCTAAACCATAAATTTCGCTAATTTTGTCAGTCCTCGGGTCTTTTTCTTCATCCAATTATTTCTAAATTGAACAGCATGTAGTCCTCTAACTTATTGATAGAGAATGTAATTACAAAGGACACGGCAGCCATGTTGGAGGATATAACAAAAGAGACTAATGGCGAATCTTGAGTTAAACTCCTTCAACATGGCGGCCGTGAAAATCATCAATACTATTTCTCACAGAGGAATATTYGTGAACATTAGAACTTTCGGTTAACAATTGACGAACCATATTCAAGGTTGTTTTAAGGGTTAATTATTTATCAATGAAAAAATTCTATTTCAGGTTCTTCTTCAGCTTCTTATTCTCGTGACAGGAAATTACAACTTTTTTAACCTCTTGACCCTTGTACTGTGCGTTGTGTTACTCGACGATAAAGCAATAATGTCACGCAATACATGCTCTTTGTCACCATGCAAGAAGTTGTATAGGAAAAAGAATGGTAAGATTTCGTTACTATGAATTATTACACACGTTACTATGATATGTCACGCAAGATTTTTGCAAGTTTTTTTAGAGACTTATGTGAGCTCTATTCATTGCATTTTACTCATCATATTTAAGTGGCAAATAATATGGAGGAAAAACATTCTGATGTAAGGGAGAACAGAAATGAAGATACAACAGAAGAAAAGAAGGCAGATCCCAGTCACGGTAAGTAGCGTGACATGTTCAGCAAAAGAGAATGATAACGTGACACGTGACTGATGGTATACGGCGTGACATGCGACTAAAAGAACTTTCGAAATTGCCTTGTATGCGTGTCTCAAGGGGATGTTTAAAACTATTTCATAGGGTACCATTTATTTGTTTAACGGTTGCACATAAGAAGACACATGAATATGGATACGACTCAAACAAAGAATCTTATTCTCAAGACCACGTGTCATTCCCTAGAGTATTATTTCTTTGTTTAACGGCTGTACATGCGAAGACACATGAATATGAATACAACTCAAACAAAGAATCTTATTCTCAAGAGCATGTGTCATTCCCTAGAGTATTATTTCTTTGTTTAACAGTTGCACATGAGAAGTCACATGAATAAGGATACAACTCAAACAAAAAAATCTTATTTTCAAGAGCATGTGTCATTCCCTAGAGTATTATTTCTTTGTTTAACAGTTGCACATGAGAAGTCACATGAATATGGATACAACTCAAACAAAAAAATCTTATTTTCAAGAGAATGACACGGRGTCTGACATAAGGAAAAGAGGTCTATTGACACGGATCGGTAAAGACTAGACTACTTGACGAACTCCCATGCACATGCCCATGAGAATCACGCGTGACAGGTGAATGTCAGATTTCGTTATGTGCTTGCTACTAAAATTCAAATCCTTTTTTTCGTGTATCATTTCAGAGGAATTCTTTCCTTCAACAGCTGGAAAGCTATTGGATCGTTTGGTTGACAAGGCAACTGGATGTTACTATGGAAACCGATTGGCACAATTCCGGGATTTTGTGCATAGTAGGAAAGCTAGTATTGTTCGAACACTTGCCAACGTAATCACTTGTGCCAGTGTTTTCTCTGGAATTTGTTTTTTAGTTTCGAGATGGTTTTATTTTGAAATTCAAGATGCCAAACTGATGAGCTGGATAAGTGAGTTTATTCTCTGATAGATATATAAATGGGTGGGTAGGAGGGTAGGTAGGTCGGTAGGTCGGTAGGTCGGTAGGTCGGTAGGTCGGTAGGTTGGTAGGTCGGTAGGTCGGTAGGTCGGTAGGTCGGTATAGCATATAAAGTTGAAGATCGGTTTGTTATATATGTAAGGTATAAAGTATCAATTATTTATCTGGCAGACTTTTCCCCAGATGACTTTCGCAAAGCTGTAACCAAGGCAACCATAGCTGCAATCTGGATTGGGGGATTTTCGCTGCTGATAGAGATCGCAGGCGCTTATATGCGGTACTTATAGATAGAGTGCACGCACTAAATCCGTGAACATTAATTAGTACTAATTAGTACTATTTCATACAGAATCCTTTGTTTTCTATCGTTGATTTATCACCATTTAGTACTGAAAGTTAGTATTTGTATCACAGAATTAGTGCGTGCCCTCTACAAGTAGAACATTTACTCCTCACACCTATATTTGTACGTTCGAAAACCTGGACTCGACATCTTTTTCTACGTTTTCTCTGGTTTTGTTTCCTCTCAATTACCAGCCAAATTCCATTTCGATCTGTGAGATATCAATGCCTTGGGACATTGCCTAGAGATTGTTTCAGAGTTCAAACTCTCCGATAACAAGAATTTTAATCATGTCTGTCTTTCCCAGGATTTTATTACAGGAAAAGTCAGTAAAAAGCTACAAAATGTATTCTTTGCTTCAATGTACACTGTGGTCTTTGCTCTCATTGTGGCTCTTTATTATTAGCCTGGTAAGTGGTAAAGGCTGGTTTTCACTAGCGACATAAGCGACGGAAACATAAGCATAAGCATGAGCATAAGCACAAGATCGTTATGTTCTAGTGTAAATGAATGTGACGGAAGCATAAGAAAAACAATAGGAAGTTTCCCGTGTAGCGGACTGAGTACGAGGATTTGATTGGCTTGCCACCTTGTGCTTCTGTATGTTAGCGACGGAAGCATAAGAATCTGGTTTTCACTAGCGACATAAGGACGGAAGCAGAAGCATAAGCATAAGAAAAAGGAAACCTTCCGTTCCTTCTGCTTATGCTTCAGTCGATGTTCTGCTTCTGCTTACGTCTCCGTTTCTTGATTTTCACAGGAACATAAGACGTCTTACGCTTCTGCTTCTGCTTCCGCTTCTGCTTCCGTCGCTAGTGAAAACCAGGCTTAAATAACATCCAAAGCTGTATTATCTATTTTGTTCTCTGCAACTGGTTTCCTTAATCTAAGCTTGGGCACCCTGTGTTTTCAGGACCCTCTTACAGATGTCAGTTATTCAGCCAAGAAAAGTCTACCACTCGTGTTTCGAAAGTGGTACCGAGATACTAAGTTGTTGGAGATTGCACATCCGTATGGATTGTTTAGAAGGTATGAAGAGAGGACACAAGAGAAGACGAGACGACCCGGAGAAGGGACGGGACGGGACGGGACGGGACGGGACGGGATGAGAAGAGAATAGAATAGACTTCCATACAGGTTTTTTTATACAGGTTTTTTTGCTTCTCAGTATGACTGGCGTGGGAGGCAGACCAGAGATTATTATACTGGGTAGTAATACGACTAATGGCACATGGAAAGTAAGTGAACAACCACACAATCAACCAATCAACCAACCCACCAACCCACCAACCCACCACCCACAATCCACCAACCCTCCAACCCACCAACCCACAATCCACCAACCCACAATCCACCACCCACCAATCCACCAACCCACCAACCCAACTACCCACCAATCCACCAACCCACCAACCCAACTACCCACCAATCCACCAACCCACCAACCCACAATCCACCACCCACAATCCACCACCCACCAATCCACCAACCCAACTACCCACCACCCACAATCCACCACCACCGACCCACCTACCCACCAACCCACCACCCACAATCCACCAACCCAACTACCCACCAATCCACCAACCCACAATCCACCACCCACCACCCACAATCCACCACCCACCAATCCACCAACCCAACTACCCACCACCCACCAATCCACCAACCCAACTACCCACCACCCACCAATCCACCAACCCAACTACCCACCACCCACAATCCACCACCACCGACCCACCATCCCACCACCCACAATCCACCAATCACCTGTATGGTATATATATTAACCTTAAATGTCCTTGTCTTATCGCAGGAATACAACTTTCGCTACAAACCGGGCAACATCTATCAACCGCCACCATTCGTAGGTAAGAACAAAACATACAAACTTTTCATAGTAATAAGAGGTTGATAATAGTAACAAAACAGCTAAGGATTTTATATTTTTATTGCAATGGTGGTCAGTTTTCCAGGGACGTCATATCTGCGTCTCTAGAGAGTTTTAGATTTACGTTCACGGCAAACTTGAAACGTCAGTTGACCAGTAGAAAATTCCTTTAAAGAGTTTCCAGTTTCTACGTAGGATTTCCTTCAATTATCTTTGTCTTTAGTCCATATTTTGTCTATTACAGCTCCTCATCAACCTCGTTTAGACTGGCAGATGTGGTTCGCTGCACTCGAGTCTTATAATTCCAATCCCTGGTTTCTTAATTTACTTAACAAGTTACTAAGAAGAGAGAAGGATGTGCTTGCCTTGATGGGTAACAATGAGGGTCTGGTCGTTTCGCCGCCGAAATATATAAGAACACAGTTATATCTGTATCACTATACTGAGAATAGTACAAGCTTGGGGAATATTCTGTTTAAATCTGGGTAAGTTAGAATATTCATACATCCCTCCATTCAATCCCATCCTATCAATTCTATTCCCATCCATCCCATCCCATCCATTCCATTCCATCCGTCCATAAGCCATCTATCTTCATTTGATAAAAGTGTTTTCTTCTAGCGTAAAATCCAAAGGCTGGTGGACTCGCGAATACGTCCGAGAATACACACCTTTCRTAGTCAGTAATGACTCTGTCACCTTACTACAACAGATGCTTAGGGAGTCAGGTATATATCAGGTAAGACTACACACCTTACTACAACAGATACTGAGGAAGTCAGGTATATACCAAGTAAGACTACACACCTTACTACAACAGATACTGAGGAAGTCAGGTATCTACCAGGTAAGACTACACACATTATTACAACAGATACTGAGGAAGTCAGGTATATACCAGGTAAGACTACACACCTTACTACAACAGATACTGAGGAAGTCAGGTATATAACGGGTAAGACTACACACCTTACTACAACAGATACTGAGGAAGTCAGGTATATAACGGGTAAGACTACACACCTTACTATAACAGATACTGAGGAAGTCAGGTATATAACGGGTAAGACTACACACCTTACTACACCAGATACTGAGGAAGTCAGGTATATAACGGGTAAGACTACACTACTTACGTCATATCAACGTTAATTTTAGCTTGGGCGTAATCTCCCACATCTTAGACCACGTGTCATTCCTTAGAGTATCATTTCTTTGTTTAACGGTTGCACATGAGAAGACACATTAAATGAATACAACTCAAACAAAGAATCTTATTCTCAANGTGTCATTCCTTAGAGTATCATTTCTTTGTTTAACGGTTGCACATGAGAAGACACATTAAATGAATACAACTCAAACAAAGAATCTTATTCTCAAGACCGCGTGTCATTCCCTAGAGTATCATTTCTTTGTTTAATGGTTGTACATAAGAAGACACATGAAATGAATACAACTCAAACAAAGAATCTTATTCTCAAGACCACATGTCACTCCCTAGAGTATCATTTCTTTGTTTAATGGTTGTACATGAGAAGACACATGAATATGGATACAACTCAAACAAAGACAATTTTTTCAAGAGAATGAAACCTAGTCTGGATGAAATGTAAAACCATTACGAATAAACGGAAAAAAAGTATTATTTGGTCCAGTTGGAATTGAAGTGTTGTGGGACTATCTAAGGGGACGAAATGGATGCCATTTTGAAATATGATCCCCCTAAACAGTCCCACTCGACCCAGTTTTCTACCTCAACCTCGAAATGCCTAATACATACGTACTTTAATCACATCATTTCGTTTCAGAGAGACATGGCTAAACAAGAACCTAGTGGGTTTCTCTATTCGCTAGTGAAGTCGTTACGCCGTCGTTATGAAAATCAAGCACCCGAGAATGTGATCAGCGTGTTGTTTTTACTTGTGGTTTTACTTCTAGTGTTTAAAGTCTGGTGGAGGAAAATGGGCCAAAGGTTCTGGTGAGATAAGTGATCAATTGCACATGTATTGTTGTGAATCCATGTGAATTCATTCAATCATTTATTCTTTCTGATATCTCTTCAGCACTCCACAGCTAAAAAGAGCTAGAGAAAAATGTGAGCCCACGATCCAACATGCCAGAGATCACATCTCCAAATGTACCGTCAAATTCGCCCATAAGTGTACCGAACTTGCAAACAAGAGCCCGATTGGTCAGTGCTACAGGTCGCAATGTGTGACTTTATTCGTGGAAAAATTGTGCGCTTTTTATAGAGGGATTTGTTTTTTCCTAAGTTTCTATTACGACAAAGGAATAGGGTTGTGCAGTAGAGCTATGGTGAAACTGGAGACAGTGAAACCTTCTTTAAAGGTAAATGACTTTGGTCGCTTTGGTCGTTGAATTTCTCAAGTAAGAATCCAGTATAAAAATATATGTATTTTTCTCAACAGAAAAAAGAATGACAAAAATGAAGAAAATGCACTCTTGGGTTATACTTGCCACGTGACGTTGAGCCGAAATTCCACTTCTATCTGTTACTCATTTTTCCATAAGCGGATTCAGAATTGTCAACTGAGTAGAAATATTCTGCTGCAGGAACTCGAGAATTCTATATGGACGTAATAAGCCTGAAGCGAGATGACGTTTTACCCCCGACTCTAGACCATAATAGTTTTTAAAATTCTTTCATATTAATTTTTTTGAGTCCTTAGAGAATACAGGAACAATGGTCATAATTAAAGAACAAAAGCAGTGTGAAAAGGATTATGGTCTAGCGCTTCAGGCTTATTGGGTCCTATAGAATGTTGTATTTTGTTTTAGGGTTTGGTCACCTGTTGGTCGAGGACTGGGAAATACTTTTGGTTTGCATCAGTAAAGACAGAAAAAGGAAAAAAGGGAGAGAGAGAAAGAAAGAAAAAAGAAAAGAAAAAAAACCCTCTTTTGATAGCGTGGGATTTGAACTACCAATAGAACTTTTTAAAAAAATCGATTCTACTTTGCCATACCCCCGAGACATCCGCAGAGCTGAGGCGTCGTATGGACTTCGGACTTGACGGCGATTAAATCCTTCTGCCCTTGGGTGCACGAATTACGCAAGAAAATGTTCTAGCCGAAGCATCAGGGGAGAGACCAGCCGGCCCCCAGACCATATCGGCTAATCCCTTGCATCTCTGCCACGCACAGAATCGGATGAAAGTATAATGTTAAAAAGTCTAGTCTATTCGGTGCATTGTTTTCACGGCTATTGTTATGCTGATTAACCTGGAACCGTGGTCCAGTGGAAAAAAATTGGGCTTCCAAAACACTGAATCAAGCCCGTCTGAGGAGGATTGGTACCTGGAGGGGTGTCCCTAAGACTAAACCAACTCAAACTTTCGATTGTTCTGGTTCCTTTTTCGAATTGAAATTAACCAAACATAATATCATATTTTTTGTACTTTCTCTACAAAGATAGATTCTCTTGACTTGATTTTTTTTAAAATCTTTTTTGCTTTGTTTTGTTTTCTCCCCGCTGTTTCGATATTAACCGCTGACCCAAACACTGTCGTCTCGACTATATCCCATAATCCTCCACGCACCACAAAACAAAATGGCGGTTGTTTTTGGACTTAACTTCGTTCAAATGTTTACCTTTTTTACCTAAAACAGCCAAGACAATGAAATAATTATCCAATAAATACAAAGAAATACGTTTTATTCGGAAGCTTGGGAGTTTTGAATGGCCTGCGTTGATGAAAACTGCTTGTATCCAGGGAAAAAGTGAGTTCGTTGTGCTGTTGTTAGGAGCGTTAGCAACCAAACTTTTGAAGAATATTATTGAATTTCTTAATCCTATAAACTCTTAAAAATAACTATAAACTACTCCGTACAATACAGTACTGACACGAGCACAAAAATATACTCCATAATTTATGAAGAAAGCTCTGTAAATTTTAGAAAATGTTGTTTATTTGTTCAATGTAGTCTCTATGTGCAGATGAGTTTTTCTTGACTTATATTGTTCGTCTTTTGTACTGTATGTTTATAGATATTTTCGATGCCTTTGAGATATGAGAGAATGAGAGAGTTAATGAAATTGTGTGTTTTAGGAAATGTCAATTCAAAAGTACTTTTTATTATAATAGAGTACTTTGTAAACACCATAAGTGTACAACATCAATACCACCAAGTACTGCTAAATTATGCTAATCCTATTGTTTAATTTACTACTAAATGGTGTAAAGTGTAGCACACTTTTAGTGTTTGTACTCTAATCTATAAAGATTTACAATAACTTGGTGGTGACGTTGATGATGATGTTGATGGTGATGGCGATAGTGATGATTATGGTGATGATGGTGATGATGATGTGGATATGATGTTGATGATGATGATTGTGAGGATGATGGTGATGATGATGATGATGGTGATGATGATAGTGATGATGATGTTGGTGCTGATAAGAATGATGGTGATGATGACGATGATGATGATTGTGGTGATGGTGGTGATGATGAATGTGATGATGAGACTGGTGATGAAGATGATGATATTGATGATGGTGATGGTGATAATGATGGTGATGATGATGGTGATAATGATAATTATGGTGATGAKGATGATGATATTATAAATAGTGACGGGGATGTTAATCATGGTCGATAGTGAAAATAGTGATAAAGATGACAATTGCTTCTTATCATTTCTTTATTCCACCAGTAAAAGTATGGAAGATGACATGTTAACWCTAGAAGGCATGAGTGATCATATGCCCAGGATAGGTGGTTACAGTGGAGTCAGAATACGAGAGTTTGACGACGGTAATGTCAACCCTGAGCCTGTAAAAAGAGACGACAAGAATACAGAAGACTTGTGGGAGGAGTTTCTGTCACCAAATAAACTCGTAAGTTGAATCACAAACATACTAAATGACTATTGGAAATTGACAGTGCATTCTGATTGGCTACGCTACTTTCATATAAAGTTTTTAGTAATGGGCAATAGGTGAGATAAGTGTCAGTTGAGTATGTAACTCAGAGGAATTGTGTGGTTCTAGAATATAACCATTTAGTATATACACAGGTGACTATTGAAAATCTTGTCCGTTAATTGGTCGAGAAACTCAGATTATCACACAATAATCGCCTCCAGAGATAATCCGAAATGGCGGCCAGCTGCTTTGTTGCTGTTACCTAATTTTAATGTCTTTTATCTTCTTTCTTTTCTGTTTTTAAAGAATCAACTGTGTATTTATACTAAAACAATTAGTCACCTCAGGCTCAGTGAATATCGGGAATAATAACCTCAACTTCGTTTCGGTTATTATTTCCCAATATTCAGTTCACCTTCAGCGAAAAATCTTCAAGTATTCCCCCCCAACAAAGGTTTTTATGAAGAAAAATTTGAAATTCCAGAGAAGTGGGTGTACCTTTTTTAAAAGTTCCTCCATTGTTGGGTATGCAAATTTTCTTTTAACAACACATTCTAAATTCTACATAGAATTGAGGCTATAGGGTACAGCCCGCAATACATTTTGAGAAAATGATGCAAAAGATATGGAATCTGCTTTATATTTCTATAGCTAATTTCTACAAGCATTTTGCTTTGTTGCTCATAAAAACAATGGCTGAACATTTTACATTTTTTAATAACTTTTAGAAATCCTTGTCTGGTGTGAGTAATTTGGATGATGCCACCTGCCTGGAGATGCTAGTAAATACTGATGAACAGAGCCTGGGGAATTTTGGTAAGAATATTTCTCAAGTTGATTTTTATTAATTTAAGTTCTTGGTTCAAGCCTCAGACCGACCAACACTCAGCTATAAAATATTTGAGGAGAAGGTGCTGCCTTTGTAATTACATCTGCATATGGTTAGACCTCCAAGTCTTCTCGGACAAGGACTTAGAACCATAGGCCCTGTCTCCCAACCCTTCCTAATCTGCTGTAAAAAAGGGAATACATTATTTTAAGTCCTGCATGAAGAATAACATGCACATTCTAATGAGTTCTCATCGTCAGCTCTTGACGTTGTTCCAGAGTGTGATACAAGCAAAAACAATTTTTGAGTCACTTGATTAAGATACATTGGTTTGTGGCTGTTAATCCTAACTATTTTTTCACTGATTACAGGTGCAATGTTACCAAATCTTGTTCAACTTAAATTATCAAACAGTGTAATATCCACAGTCAGGTAAGGTTTAAGCATCTGAAGTTTAGATTTAAGGTTTTTATAGATTTATGGTTTTGAAGGAAACCACCGTTGGTGGCAGTGAGAGTACCTTTTGTAACGGCAATTTGTGTTTGATACCCAGAATTAGCCGTGTAATATGCGAGCAGTACAGTGTTCCAAATAGCTGCCTGTCAATGGACAAATGACAGGCCAAATTTCAAGTTTTGCAGGAGAAAATAACAATGGGCTGCAAAACGAATGATAAGATTTCACTCAAAATTTCACTGAAATGACCTTCTTTTACCACATGCTCCTTTACTATGGCAGGCTTAAAAGGTTTTCTATCCTTCTCTTCATGTCATTCCCATTTATTACCATATATTCACATTTGTTCTCCACGTCATTGTTATTGTTATAATATAGAGACTTGGGGACTTCTTTGGGTAACCTGAAGATTTTGTGGATGTCGCAGTGTGGACTGACTGACTTGGACGGTATTAGCTCTCTTTCMTCTCTTGTGGTATGTGTCATTAATGATAATTATAATGATAATGATGATAATAATAATGATAATCATTATGATGATAAGAATGACGAGAATTTTGCCAACTTTTCCGTGCTGTAAAGAAGCAGGAATTCGTTTGAAACGAAAAACAAATTGAAAACCGTGTTTTCTAAATTGGTCTGTAATCAGGCATTAGGGGCATTTTAAGAGCTTCCAGTTTCATCATTCCTGTAATTTGTATTTTATAAATTAAAGAAAAGAACTTGCTTGCTGTGCTGTGTGCTGTTATAAAGTACTTGAGGATTGGCAAGTAATACTCAAGGAGTGTTGAGAAGCATTTGCCGCTGCCTGTTATGCTTCTCCTAATACTTCTCTTGTGTTCTGCTAACCCCTTCGTTTTTTTAATAACTGCACACAACATGTGCACACATTATATATTTTTTCAATACAAATCAAGCTCGTTGTATCATGTGACATGTTTTAATGTGATTGATTGACAGGAGTTATTTGTTGCATTTAACGACATCAATGACGTTAGCCCAGTCAGTATGTTGGATAACCTAGAGGTCTTGGACTTGGAAGGAAACCTGATTGACGACCTGTCGCAAGTAGAGTTTCTTTCACTGTGCTCGTCACTCAAGAGTCTTAATCTTGAGGGAAACCCTGTTTGTGTTGCACCACATGCCAACTCTTCTGCCGAGGTAAAAATACATTCAATAAGTGTTTGTAAGCCGAATTAAGATACATGATGCAATGCGAGATTCTCTGAAGCTTGGCTTGATTTATAATTAAAAAGCTGATGAATCAAAACTATCATGTAAAAATACATGTTTAATACACCTTTAATAAATATTATTTTAAGCCTGCATGAATAATAATAATGATAATAATA